CCCTTCTGTTAAATCACACACTGTCACAATCTTTTCTGAAACTAGTTAAAATGTCCTTGAATCATTGTGTACTACTTATTTTACCACACTGATTAGTGTTTTTGTGCTACACCTGGTTTGTCACTGAAATCACAGTTTGAGTGGCAAAGTAAGCTGGCTCTATGTAGGAGCACAGGGCCAGCCTGGCACCAGGCCACAACAGATGGCCATGAGTTTCACTTACAACACAACACACTGGCAGGCAGGAGTGGTGATAACACTTCTAATAATAATAATAATAATAAAAAAATTCCCAGTACCCTAGGTGACCCCCTTCAGCGCCTGGAGCTGTTTTGATTACATGTGAATCAGAGTCTGGAGAATGAGTGTGTGCGAGGAGAGATAGCTGTGATGGGATAGAGATGTTGTTAAACCATCAGCCCTACTTTCGGTCTCTCTCTCTCTCCTTGTGTCCTGACAGAGAGCTATGGCCGACTGATGAGTCATCCTCACAGGAAGGCAAGCTGAATCCGTGCATTACCTAGAAGATTTAACATTTAATTACTCCAACCTCAAATAGATTTGCAACTGTTATTCCAAGGCAGATGAGGTACTTTATGTAGCCAAGTGGACTGTCATCACTAAGTGGGCCTAGAGAGAGTCATCACAGGAACACTAAGTTCCTGACCTGTTCAGATATATTTTTTAATTCATAATTGAATGTGTATAAATATTTTGGGACACTTGGAAAAACCTCCCTTGGAATTTATTGGTCTTTATCTCATTTGGAGCCGTATAATAAATTATAGTGTTATTATACAATTTGTTCTTAAAATCTTATTTTAAACTGTTATTTTAATTGTTAAAGCTATCTTTGAGCCTTTAGCAGCAGTAAAGACACAAAAACAAAAAAAACAAACAGTGTTCGTCATCCTCCTGCATGGAATAATAAACAGCCACTCCATTTTTGTCATCTGCAACACCGCATTTTTCTTTGTATTGATCAGTATGAGTCTTTGTGAATCATAGTCGTCTAGCAGGAAGTGCCTGGATGAAGTGAGTATAGCAAAGTGGCTCTTGAAAAAAAAATTGAGTGATTGATTTGTTTTTCTTTCTTGTCTGCATCTCTGGCTCAAGCTGATCACAATTTAATCCAACAGGGCTGGTGGGAAAAGTGGGTCAGGAGGAAGTTTAGTAAACTTGGCCTAAGAGTTGTTGACTTTTTTGTGGAGTATCTCACTGCAGAGGGAAGTTTCCTTGGGGGGGAGCTGGTGTGGGTGAAAGGAAGCAGAATTGTGAAATAGTTGTATAGCCGTGAAAGAGGAAAGGAATTTTGTGTGTGTGTTTGTGTGCATTTTCTTTGTGTGTGTTTGTGTGGGGTTTTTTTTCCTGATTAAACATTATGTGTTACTGTGTTCGATTGCTTCGTTGTATTTCACCCATCCTGGATCACAGCTTAACAGCTCCCACTTAAAAAAAAAAACAAAAAAAACAAATTTTTCCTCATCTTATTTAATCATAAACACGGCAGTGAATCCCATAAGCCTCTCTGCTCAGCATTTTAATGTGTATTATCATGCTCAAACAGCATTTGCAGGCTTCACTAATGGTGCTTTGTGGCTTGTCAAAGCATCTGTGCTATGCCATCTTTTAGAAGGAATTTGCCCATTAACCAGACAGTATGAATTGTAAAGCAGCAGCACTTTTGTGTATCATCTGTTTACAAAAAGGCCATAGATTTTTCCCTAAGGGGACACAAAGCTGAATAGAAGTAGCCTTGAACACTGAGATTCCTCATCAAGTAATGAAGGTGCTCTTGTACTTGTGCCTTTACTCGGGTCTTTTTCTCAACCTCTGTTGTTTTCTTTTCCACAGGCTTTGCACCCTCACACTGAAAAAGCTGGTCGTCCTCAAAGAACTGGATAAAGAGCTGAACTCTCTGTCTATAGCTGTCAAAATACAGGTGGGTGGGTTAATCTCCCTAGTGTGATTGGAATAACAGGCTCAGTTGTAAGATCGCGGTGTGTCACCATCTGGAGTCTGTGCTTCACTGCTTCCTCTTTACTTGATGCTGTTGAATGTAATTGCAAAGCCTAGACACTGAGAAGACAAGCTAGTAATCCTGCTGGTTGATTAAAAAGAAAAAACCTCCCTAGGTGAACAGGAAGCTGTGATGAGTCACGTGCTCTCAGGTTCCTTAAATGGCAGACTGGCATTACCATGCTAAGCAGTAGCATTAGCACCTTAAGATGGATTGTGTATCTTTCATTGATTGCTTGTGCATGCACGCCTCGCCTAATCTCGGTGTTATATGCTCGGTGTTATATATATATATATATATATATATATGACACTTTATTTTTAAAAAAATCCACTCTTCGTTATTTGACCTTTTTTTTTTTAATCCCACTCTCAAAAGTACCCCCCTTTTTTTAAATATATATGTATTTAATTAAAAATTTGTCTATGTAGTACTGGACTGGACAATTCTGTTCTAGAAGGAACAAATCATCCTCTCTTTACTGTCATCCTGAAGGAGAAAAAAAGCAACCACATGTGGCTTGATCCATGAGCTACACCGTCTCCAGAGCGTGAAATCTCTCCATTTCTGCTGAGCTGCCCGGAGGACAGCAGAGCGAAGCTCTGTTCACGATGGCTCTGGAACTGGAGCATTAAATGCAATTTCTAGCAGGTTTGGTTAGAGAGAACAGAGACATTGAGGGTATAAAAGAGACAGTCGGGGAGGATGACAGAGGAAAGGAACGGCTTTGTTTTCAGTCAGTAAATGACAAAGCTTCATTACTGCATGTCATCGGGTTGTCTCTGCAGCATGGTCCGTGGCCTTCTCTATTCTTTCTCTGGGCCTCATTAGGTTAAGTGGTCTGCATGCACGCACAGAGCTCATGTAAAGACTAATCATTTGGATCGTCTGCTTAAACTGAAGCAGAAAGAATGATGACGTTGCATTTTTAGTCTGCAAAAAGTTGTTTTGTTTTTTTTCTGGCTCTTTTCAAGTAGCTACGTGTAATACATATTTTTCCATATGTTGCTTCTATGTATGTACTCCATGATCCCAAATTTTTTCCTGTCTTTTGTGTACAATTGACTGAGGCTGTGGGCAGGCCTCAGTGTCATCTGGATTATGATAGGAGAACATCATTCAATTCTCATTTTAGTGCAAGTTGTTGTCCAAAGCACTTCCATTTGCAGTATACTTAGATATGATCCAGTTATGTGTTTGTGCATGTTTGACTTACACTGTGTTGGGTAAAGGCAGAAGCTCAAAACCTTTAAAATCTATTTAATACAATTTCACATTGAGCTCTCATCCCTACCCTTAATCCTTCTCATTACTGCAACAAAAAAAGGGATGGGGGTCCAATTAAGGGAATTGAAAATGTCTAAAAAGGAAACCTTGAGACTGTATAGTTGAACTTGTTTTCACAGGCTTGTAAAGCTTGAGAGAAGGTCTGTAACATAGCCCATCTGGCCCCAGAAAGACAGTCAAAGTGTGCAGCAGGGGAGCGAGGATGAGAGAAAGGGAGGGCCAAAGGACATTCAGTACAAGCTTTCCTTGCCAAGGCTCTGTATTGTTAATGCATGTCATGCAGTTTCAGAGTGTTCTGCTTTTGTGCCTTGATTCATTGTACTAGCCAGTAAGCATGAGGGTGCATATAAGGCCTCTTTATAGAGCTCAAGTTAGTGACAAGGTCAGACTTGGACAGAGATTTGACCTTAATGTTTTATATAAATATATCCATACTTAACAAAAGCTGCAGGTACTGTCGAGGCACTGGCAGCACGTTCCTCTCTGGAGCATATCGTGCCATTAGGTTAGATAGAAAAAGAAATGAATGATTGTTAAGAGTCAGCAACGGTTAACATCCTTAAACCCTCAGTCCTTTAAAGTTTTGTGTCTCACCTTCTGCTTTTTAAATGCACATTGTTCTCTATCGCCTTTTGTGAGTTAAGCTAGAACATTGCATTGTGTTCTTGCTGCATTGAGTTTTAAAGACATAGAAGTACTTAAACCAGTTCTGGATGTGGACACAGTGGAGTGCTTAACAATTATTTTATAAAGCTAAAAAAAGAAAAAGAGTTCTTGTACCCCGGGGCAATGTCATATTAAATATGTTAAACACTTACATAAGTGATTTTCCTACTGCCATCCCACATTGTGTCATAGAAAAATAGTTTATTACCCTTTATTTTCACATGATTGCTCAGTACTAGAAACATAGCAAAAGTCTTTAAGTGTGTATAATGCAATATATGTGTGTATGCATGTGTGTGTTGTGGTGATACATATCTGCACCATTATATTGCTAAAACTTTAAAACGATGAACGAACAGTCCGATCATCTAATTACTCTTTTTTTTTCCTGGGTTGCCAGGGAAACAGTCAAAGTAGGTTCTTTGTAGAAACCTAGTTACTGCTGCTTGTACTAAAACCTTGGTACTTTCTCACTACTAACAGGTTGTGACTATGTGAGAGGATGTTTCCATAGTTCATCTGTTAAACTGTGAGTTTTAGGCTCAGCTCTATCTTCACTGTTACAGCACCTGCAGATCCCTCTGTCAGTCTCTTACTCTATTCTTTCCCACTTGTGAACAAAACTCGTGAATTACTTTTACTACTTGACTTGAGGCAACTACTCTTTCCCAACATATGGCAGGCATTCCACCCTTTTGTAACTAAGGGCAGTGGTATCAGATCCGGAGGTGCTAATTGTCATTTCACCTGCTTTACAATCAGCTGCAAACTACTTCAGCATCTACAGTGCCTATAAGTTTTATGCTTAAAAGCTGCAAATAGAATCTGTGACAAAGCTAGGTCTGGTTTAGCTTAATTTGTACAATTTGCCAAAGAATGTCTTGAAAAGGAAGCCACTTAATCACAAGGACATACAGACAGATCCACGCATTATCACTTAGAACAAGATTTTACAAGCCATCTCATCTGAAGTATATTGCAGTGTAAAGTGACCCCTCTGGTGTCTTGTGATGATTCCTCAGCACACATTCAACTATTTTATTTGGTATCTGTTACATGATTTGGCAGCTCTTGCAACAGTCAGATCCAATGTCGTACCCACTGCGTGGGACTATTCCATGAGTTTCTCTCCTGGGTATTAAGAGAGACACTGGATATCCTCACTACTCCATACTGCTCACCAAGTCTTATTTAATTCTATCATCAGATAGAGCACATACCTGAACTAAGCTTTGAGTGTTCATGACATTTTTGTAGCTGTCAATGGGATGACACAGCACTGCTACTCTGGCAAAACATCAGGAGCCAAAGGCTTGACATGCTATTTATTTCCTCATAATCACACTTTAGTTCCCACTTTTAAGTTTATAAGAGGGAGAAAAAGACGCTTAGTTGTGGAAATCTGTAATTTGGCAAGAAACACGAGAGGCTTTAATCCAAGGCATATCACAGAAATCTAAGGAACTGCTGAGGGCTGAGACAGGTCATCTGAGGACACGCTGTGTGTTGCTGTCTTTACAGTTACACTTAGGGAAGAGGCGGCGTTCAACCTGTGCCATGTAAATCCCCCGAGAATGTTAGGTCACCATATCATTGTGCCAGAACCCAGTATTAGCTTAGGTGATGAGACTTTCTCAACTGGCTTAACAGACAATTCTCTACAAGAATAGAAAGCATTAGGTAATGAAGCTAATTTTGGTTTTGAGTAGTAGCTTGAATATCAGTGGAAGTAAAAAGTGTAATACAATAGCTGTGTGAATGTATTTATACTAATAACTTTCTTAGTGTTATGCTCTTAGTTCTGCGTGAACTAGAGATCGCACTCAAAGTATGATTAAGAATACTCACAGCTGTTTCCAATATGTTGAGTATAGCAGGCTTTTGATTAGAGAGTTACTGTTTTAAATATATTAGCACAAGCTATTTAACTTATCCTAGTAGAAGCAAAGGAGTTGAGGACTGTTTGTACTAGGCTACCACAAGGCGCGAATCTGCATAAATGTGTGAATGTGAAGGAGGCTGGTACTAAAATAGGGTATGCACACTCACTCACTGTTGTCTGCATTGATAACCGGTTAAGAAAAAACACAAAATATGTGATTTGTTGGGATTTTTTTTTTGTTTTTTTACTTCATTGATTTTTGTGTCAAGGATTTTTAGTCAATTTATCAACCAAGTAGCATCTAATGATTTCATGTCTGTGATTCTTTTCTTTTTTTTTAACTGTTATTTGTTTGCCCTGATGAAAAGCAAACAAGCGCTTTCAGCCTTGGTATTGGATATCTGCCAGTACCAAGTACCTGTCCAATACCGGTGTTAAAATAAAACACTGTGGTCCTTCACCTAATTTATTTGCAGAAGTCTCATTTCGGTTCATTGCGCCATTTATGGTCTTACTAGTTCCAATTCTGTATCCTCGCAGTTTCGCTGTGGGTGCACGACTTCACATGTGCATTACTTATGTAGTGTAGCTGTAAAGCAACAGTCAAGTTGAGGACATGTCATGTTACAGAAAAAACAAAGCCTTCCAAACAAGTTAAACACTGACAGCAAAACAGACAGAAAAGACGTCGCCGTCATCAACAGAGCTTTTATCAACTCACATAACTGCTGTTGATCATAAACTATGCAAACAAATAAAGAAAAGCTGTTGCCTCCTACATGCTGTTAGCTCTCCTGCTAGGAACTTGTGCACTGCTTCTAATGTGTGGCTGCAAACAAAAAACAAATTGAATGGTTTTGATCAGTCTGTTGTCAGCATTACCTGATATATATTTTTTGAGCCGGGATTGGACCACTAGTCCTTCCCAGTGTCACATTGGAACATCCCGGTCGTGATCATCTCACCGGCCACGACTGTAACTCTAGCTGTGGTTTTAAGCAATGAAGAAGGGCTGCGAGGCAAAGCCCCCAGCACATGTCAACAGGAAAGCAGTGTTTAAATAGCTGTGCCGAACACTGACCAGGTGTTTCAAATTTCCACCAATTTCTTTCAGCTCCGGAAAGGATCCCCCGCAACACAGAACAGACAGTCGCGCCGCAAGAGGCCTTGGGAGTGTAACAGTTCCCAGTTTCAACAGCAAACACTGTCATTTTTATTTTTAGAACAGGCTTATGGTGTTTTCAAGTAAGAGTAAGTCACTCCTGGAAGTCCCTGGGTGTGATGAGTTTTTGTCTAGCATTTTTGTGACATTTTGCTTTGCTTTGTCTCCTACAGGGTTCTAAGCGTCTTCTGAGATCAAACGAGTATGTCCTCCCACCCAGTGGACTGATGGAGACAGATCTGGAGCTCACATTCTCACTGCAGGCAAGCGCTCTGACATTATACTGTGAATTCTCACACAAATATGGCGGTTACTTGAGGAGCAAGAGCGTGTGGAATCTGTTGTCTACCCCATTTATAGATCGAAGTTGTGCAGCATCTCCTGTGTTGTTCTTGTTGACATTTTTAAGGCATTTGTAGATTGCAATAGTAGAATGCAATTTATAGAGGTGAAAAAATTAAGTGGACGAGTTTTATAAAGTTGTATAAAAGATAAAAATGCACAAGTTCAGAAGAGTAAGAACTGGGTGAAATTACAGTGATGTTGAGTGAAGGCTTGATGCTGGTAAGATGGAGATGACATGTAAAGATCTGGGACAGTGTGACTTCCGAGGGAGGCGACTACATCCTAAAAGGTTGAGAAAAAAAGTGACGCATTTTTCTCATAAATGCATTTATGGGCTCTAGTTGTGAAAATTTAAATTCTTCAATGGCAGTCCAAGGAGCACAGTGGTTGGTAAAATACCAGATGTATCTGATGACTAATAATATGCCTGTTGCCACAGTATATACTGCGTTTGATGGCAGTCGTGTGTGGGGCATCTAAACATTTGTCAGATCAGGATAAAATACTGCCTGGAAGTAAAAACAGTCAGAACTGTTTTATTTTATAAGTATGCAGCAAAAGCTCTTACGTTTTACAGGACATAATGAATTTATTATTTTGCTTGTCTTACTTGATTTTTCTTATTTTCAGTACCCCCATTTTCTGAAGCGGGATGCCAATAGGCTGCAGATTATGCTGCAGAGGAGGAAACGTTACAAGAACCGAACCATCCTGGGCTACAAGACTTTGGCTGTGGGAGTTATCAATATGGCAGAGGTACTGCACAGTGCCTTAACTAAGGCAGCTATTTCACTCACTTACTTTTGTTTCATTGTAAGCTGTTCTTGAGGAACATTTCATTTTGCTTGGAGCCTGCGATGGCATTCTTCTTTCACAGTGATTGACATGGCTATTTGCTTCTGTTTATCATGTCTTGGTTGCCAGAGAGAGAGGCCCTCCTGTGATGCACGTTTTTTTTTTTCTCAGATGACTCAGTCATCACACATATTGCCGTATGAGATTATGAACCATCTGGATCTGCCTTCATATGCACTTGTATAAAAACAGTGCAGTCAGGCATGCTGTGCAGAAACACCTGAGTGAGAGCTGGATGTTTGTTTGAAGTGGAATATTTTTTTTGTCTTGATTGCAGTTCTTTAATGTGAGTACAGAGCTCAGCTGGATCCTGCACGTATCTTCGGCCATCAAACTGCTATATTTGACTTTCAAAACGGCCGTATTTGTTTTTCTGTTATCAGTGTTGATATCAGACGTTGAAACTTTGCTGCAGTCGTTCCACTGTATTCACTCTCTGCAAACAAGCAAAGATCACTGATCAATAACTGTCATCCCCTCAAAACTGTACAAAGCCGAGTGTGCTCCATGGTTGGTGTGTTTGTTTGTTTTGTTTTGGTTTGTTTGTTTGTTTTTGGTGGTGGTGGTGGTGGTGGGGGGCGTCTTCAAGACTGCCATTAGGTTTAGACATAATTATTGAGTTCTACATTTATCTGTAGAAAGAAAAAGGTGACAGTTCTCATTACAGCTCAGGATGTGCCTCTCCAAAGTTATTTTCCAGCAGGAGCCCCAGGACGGCAATTGATGGACAGACTAATGCATTATTGTATTTTAAAATACCACTCAGCTGTTGTGCTGTTGGTGCTTGCTGCAATGAAGCAACTCCCAGACCTCTATGAATAAAGCTAGATAGGCCATTATTGGATGCTGTTGGGTAATTACGTTGTCATCTGCTGTGGCGTAAACCCTCTTGTGCCCTCATTCTGAAACTATCGAAGCATTGTGTAGGAGGAAGTCGCTTATTGGACTTTGAATGGAACATTCAAAGTGCACCCCTGTCAGCGTTTGAGCAAAATGAGCCCACTCTCTGTACAGCAATTCATCAAGTGAAATATTGAAAGCACCCCACAGATGGAGCTCGGAACGAAAGCTCATTCCTTCTCATCTGATTCAAAACCGTTTATGTAAACTGTGTTATTCTGTTTGTCTGGGTGATATGCACAAATTGGCTTGGCTCCTCTAGACATTCAGTTTTTGTGCTAATGAAGATTTATTTAGAGGTAGCATAGCTGTCTGCTTGTAGTCAGTTGGTGTAAAGCAGTGTGGCAGAAGCCATTTTGATCTCTGTGGGATCGTTATCTGCTCTGTAAAGAGACAAATTCTTCCATCCTGATTGTCTGCTGCGAAAAATGTTTGTATTTTCAATATTTGATCCCTCCTGCTCCAGCGTAGCTCCAAAAGATTGATATACATAGCAAGTATCGAAGTCATGAAGTCTCAGCAAAAACATTAAAAAAAGAAAGGTATAAGGAACTTTTCAGTGAGGGACAAAAAAGGACTAAAGTGGGGGTTTTTATACCTCAGTTTTCAGCCTGTCATTTGAATGGATTCTAAAAAATTATTCCTGGCCTCAATGTTGAACTATGTCCAGGTGATGCAACACCCAACAGACGGAGGACAGATTCTGGGTCTCCATAGCAACGTAAAGGAGGCGCCAGTGCGTGTGGCGGAGATCAGCGTGTACTCTCTTTCCAGCCAGCCCATCGACCACGAGGATGGTAGCGGCCAGGCTGGCCGCAAGACCAAAACCTCAGGTGGGCACAGCAATCTCTCACCTGCCTGTGTTGGGTCTGTTAGACAGGCCTGCACCCATGCTGCCCAGCCAAGTTCTGCTTGTAATTTTAGCCAGCTCACCCTACTCAGGCCTCTTTCTTCCCTCCTTCCACATGGCTCCTATTTCCCAACTGAGGACAGAATAAACTCTATTAATCCCAGGCTGTGCTGTGGCCAAGGATATGTTATTCTCTTCAGCTGTGGTTGTAATGTTGATTTGAGAGTTGAACAGATGCAGGGCCTATTACCTTACACAACTCTAATTCTGGACTGAGGAGAAATACTGGGCCCTATTCAGATTCCGTGCTTTTATCCCGCTGTGCTGATCCGTCGCTGTTCTGGATGTTATTAGGGAGGCCGCTCTAACATAACAGATGAGCTCATGCACCAAGTATTAAACTGGTGTCACTCTGAGGGAAGAAAAGATGTTTGCCTTTCTCTCCTCTGCAGTGATCTTTAATAGCATCCATCCCACCTAGGAACGCAGAACAGGATGTTTGACGGGCAAAAGGAAGTCTGCATTAACATTTACCAAAAAAATAAAAAGTAAAGATATTCCATCACCTGATTTGCCCTCAGCTGTCAAACTAACAAACTGCCTCTTTAAAATGATGTCCAGTTCAGATGACACAGAATTTATTAACCATTAGCCCTGAAAACTAAACAAAAAGAGCTTTTCCGTGCATTTTTGTATTCTCATATATTTTGCCCATTATTCTTGTCCTGTAGCCGAAACAGTCTACTATTAACAAACAGAAGAACATTAGGCAGAAAATTGAAAAACCTTCCCCACACAAAATGTAAAACTGCCTTTGGCCTCACCCTGATATGTGTGAAAAATGGACTAAACATTTAATAACAGCCTGATTTGCATCTTATTAGCATTATGCAGTTTGGTATGTGTAAGACATTATGCTTTGCACTGGCAGGGTAAGAAGAATATTTAGTGAAGAAAACCATGTTAAACATTAAGTTTAGGAGGTTTCACTTAATAAATTCCTGACCAGAACAATTTTTAGAACCAGAACCATTGTTTTATTAGATATTGCAGTCATCTTGGATTATTGTTTCACACTTTGTATCTCTGTCTTTTAAACTTTTAGAAAAGATGTGTCTTTTCAAAACTTTAAATTTTAACCTTTTTGGTGTAATGCTGCTAATGTTAGCCTAGATATATTCCTCTAGAATTATATCTCAATGTGTGTGTGTGTGTGTGTGTGTTTGTGGTTGGCGTACCTCAGACCGCTCCCCAGATATGGATAACTATTCTGAGGACGATGACGACAGCTATTCGTCAGAGCAAGAAGCCAGTGATGACGCAGTTCACGGCCAGGTTCGTGCCAGAGAATGTTTAGATCCAGACAAATGTATAGTACATACACCAAGAAATAAAATCTCCCATATAAACAAAAGAAGTCTACATCAAATGTAATTCAGGAAATAGAGAGGGTTTTTTTCTTTGTTTATAAAAATATAAGAGAAATTGATTTTAATAATTTCTCTATTTCAGGATCTTTACGATGAGGACGACGAGGTCAGGAAGCCCAAGAAGGCCCGCAGGAAAATGATCCGAACCACTTCCATGACTAGGGTTAGTAGCTTTCTTTTCCACTGTATGCAGTTTTCCATGCTCAGCAGTCACTTTGTGAATAGCTTAAAACCTGTGTTTGCTTCTCTACAAGCTTTTAAGGGAAAGCACACACTGTGTTCCTTGTTCAGGCCATTAAGACAATGTGGACAGACGTGTAAATGAACTCAGTGAAGTGGCTAAAATGGCCTTTACATAGAACAGCTCTGAATATGTAATCCAGTGAACAGTTACCTGGAGTGGAGCTATCGTGCTTATTTAACTGTGACTTGGTATCCTTCTATTCTGTTAATCCTTCTCTTGTAACTGCATGTGGGGTTTTTTTTTCTGTTGCAGCAACCTAACTTTAAGCAGAAATTTGTGGCCTTGCTGAAGAGGTTCAAGGTGACCGATGAGGTGAGTTGCAAAAAAAAAAGGTAATTGCATTTGTTTGAACTGACACCGCATAAGAACATGTTCAATGTCAAAGCAAATGAGGGATACAGCATCCTCCTCGCTGTGCCCCCAGGAATTTCTGTCCTTCTCTTATGAAATCTTCTGGAGGTCAGCTGTGAAACTTGCATTTAGTAAATTACCCTCGAGGCAGGACGGAATAATCTCAGTATTGACTGTCTAAGCAGCATTCTGTTACATCACTGCTAATGTGCTCCTGACTAGAGGGCAATCACCAGTAGAGAAATCACTGCCACAACAGGGTTACAAGCATCATTACGCTGCATTACATTTCTCCTCACAGATGCACATTTCCATTAGCAGCGATTTATATCTGGAATCCATTAACCATCTTATTTTTTACTACTTAATGCAATACAAAATGTATTATTTAGATTTGCGCTCTTGTTATGAATAAACGTCTCTCAGCATAATGCCTTGTAATCAGGTCATCAGCAGGACATTGACAAATTGTATGCAGCAACCCCTACATGTCCATTAGTGCATAATCTGTGTTAAGCCCTTTGGATGAAAATATTATCCTTGAACTGTAAGAAATCTATAGGGAAAACCTGGAACATACCTTGTTTCTCATCTTTCTTCCTCCTTGTGTTGCAAGCAATCCAATAACTATATCAGCGAGCATGTTTCGAAAAATCCTATTCATAAAAACAAGTTATGTGGGTTTTCAGACTGAATGGGGATTCGTTTATATGTGATCAAGATCTAAAAAGTTCTGTCTGAGATATTTAACCTAGTGCTGCTTTCACCAGCATTTTTGCCAGTGTGGGGGGGGTTGTTGGATGGTTCTGGAAGCTCCAGGTGGCCCGATGATCTTTTATCACGTTCCCTGTCGCTAATCTCCTTCTTGTGGCTGCGGCTCTATAAATACATAGCCGGGAGGAGGAGAGGGGACAGACTGTGTTTGTCTGCTCCCTGCCAGCTCCTGCACTTATGGAGTGGCATTAATCACCTGATTAGTCCACAAGCCTGGCTGTGTGTAGTTCCTATGATATACATCTCCACTGTGCAGCTGGTAGAGCAAGGCTCAGCATCTTAGCACTTCGCTAACGCTCACTTTTTATTAGCTCTTCTTTGAACTAAGGCAGGACTGTATATATATTACATACAGATTTTTGTTTTACAGCTTTCACTATTCTCATTCATTCTTGAAGCTCCATTACTCCAGCTGTGAAAGTGATTAGTTTATGCACAGCGCCCAGTAACACCCTGCCCTTATTTAATCCATGGCCATAATTACAAATCCTTGATTACAGGATACTGATGATGTGTCTATCCTGTGTGGCAGGTCCTGGACTCTGACCCAGTAGACCAGACACAGGAGGTTGAGGAGGATCTGGACTTACTCTATGACAGTCTAGAGGTGTATAATCAGAGTGACAGTGGGCCAGAGATGGAGGACAATGAGAGTGTCCTGAGCACTCCTAAGCCCAAACTCAAGTATGTCTGTCTTTCATATTTTTTTTCCAGATAAAATGTTTATAGTTGAAAGTTTGTATGTGGTTATAGGGTGAACTGTTACATTTTAAAAATGTTAAATAATGATCAAAAAGTACGCATATACATTGTCGGGGAAAAGCGCCCATTCATTTTTATACTGTGATTTGATCTTGAACTTATTCTTCACCTTTAGCAGCAGTAACCATGACAGATACTTTGTGTCTGTAGGTCAGACCAGCATTCTTCTTCTGCAACCTGTTTTCAGTTCAGTAATATATTTCTAGGATGAGTGACTCTCTCTAGGTCATTCCACATAGTAGTAGTTTCAGTAGCTCTGAATGGGTCACTCTGAAAAGCAGATATTGTTTGAAGCTGTTCTGTTGTAGATTTACTGCAGTGTTTAGGGTCATTGTCCTGCTGCAGTGTCCTTTATGATGCCCAGTCATTGAGATCATCCCTATTTATGAACAGATATGTTCACCATCTCCAAGGATTTGGCTGGGAACATGAGAGTACTGCTCGCTCATGTGGTACTGACCTGCCACATCCTAAGTCATATGCTGCTTTAGTATTTATGCTGTATAAAATAAGCCTTTAAGCTACATCCAAGACCATAAACTCATAAGGGAAGTGCTTGAGTTCAGAAATAAAGTGAGAAGTAGCATTGTTTCCCATTTGACTTGTATGCAATTGGATGCCTTTTGGTAACCGGAGAAGTTGCCCTCTGCAGGCTGTAATGAAGAACAAAGGGGTGAGGCTTGAACTGTGAACTGGAAGCTATATATATGTCGATGTTTACAGGGACGGTTTGACATCAACAGATTGACAATTTATATGTTATTGATTTATAAATTTATAAATATGCTTTGGGCTTTCAGACTATTGACTGCACGTAGCTTTGAAGGTTCATAGTTTTCTAAACTACACTGTAATTGTTTGACACCTGTAGTATGGACAAGAGCAATATGAATTTTGCTTTATTAGTTCAAAAATGTTTTTTTCTTACTTTGATGCCCATTTTACTACATCTTAAAGCAAACGTTTCGATCAATCCGAAGGCTTCCCCTACTTAAACTGTTTGTTCTTGTCTAATTCAAATATTTGCTCTTGCTTCTAGGCCGTTTTTTGAAGGGATGTCTCACTCCAGCTCGCAGACAGAAATTGGAAGCATCCACAGCCAAAAAAGTCAGCAGAGAGAGATGTCATGCCCTGTGAGTTGATTAGCACGAACTCTATGAACAGACCCCTTTGCCTTTGAGTTGCACTGTTTATCTATAAAGTTCTGCCTCGCAGTTATTTTAGACGTCCTTATAAACAGTGTTACGTAAAAGACTTTCCCCTGTATTGCCCCAGTGTTTAAATTCCTGGCAGCCCTCTGTTCATATTGTGGTTCAGGGATTCCCAAGGATACTAGAGAGAAGATATTCTTAGCATGTCCGCCATGTGGACCCTGGCAGAAAAGGACTGGGTCCTGCTGTCCTTCAGAATTTATAGGGTCTGACACAAAATGACCTTTTCACCACCATCACTGCACACAAATATGCTCCCATTGCTCAGAGAGAAGATTGGATGGAGCAATCCTGAACTCCTACTCAGAAATTTATGGCCCATCTGAACAACAAGAGAGACACGTTGAGTGTGATGGCGAGAGAGCGAGAGGTGTTTATAAATATCAGGGAATCCATTTTGGCGTGTAATAAAATGGCCCAGAGCAATTCAGGCTACTACATTCTAGTCGAACTGCATAAACATGTCTTGCTGCCAGAATGTAAACTATTTAATTTAATATTTAAATAAATTACACTTTACAAGAGCCGTTCAAACAAGACGAGAATTAAAAACAGGAATGTGCCTCTTGCACTTCTGGGGTTTATATATATTACACCAAGCAGTAGTGAAATGTACAGGCACTATAGGTGAGGTATTTATATATACTTACCCTGTGAAACTGGTCGGTTACAAATCTTGCATTTCATTAATTATGACATGAGCACTTCCATTTGGAGCTTTTATTTTCACCAGAAAGGTGAGCTTCATGGTTAAAATGATCTAATGTGTTGGCATGTGTGTTTTACCCCCCAGAGTGGAGACTTTCTCACTGTGGACAGATGTAAAGTACAAGGGGTGCGATATCAGGATGACAGCGTCACAGACACAACCATTGGGGTATGTTTTTGGAACAGTCATACATTTTTTTGTTTTGTTTTTTTTATCCCCCTTCTTTCTTTCCTTCTTTTTTTTTTTTTTTACTTAATACCCTTGAGCATCCCTTTCTCACATTTTTCTTTTCCAACCCCCTACCCTCTCCACTTGAGTGCCCTTTTGCTCCCGTGGGTCTTAGTTGTTTTCCGGGAAAAAGAAAAGAGGGGAGGGAGCGTGCGAGGGCATGCAAACTAAACAGCATAGTCATCCATTATGGATCAGCAGAGCAGGCGAGGCAGCTTCATGCTGGATAAATCTTGACTGATGAGGATGGAAAGAGGGGTGTTTGTGTTTGTTTTTGTTCTTGTGCTGTCGGGTCGGTCTAACCTTGTTCATCGAACTCCAGCCGCCCCTCTGAGCCACTCACCACCCCAATCCACTGAGTGAGTTCAAACTGAATATCTAAGCTGCAGGAGCAGTGTTTCCCCAGCCACCTGCTAAGAGACCATGACTTTTTTATCTCGTATGTCATGGTCGGCTTACACCATTATCTCAAACCTCAAAAAAATGAGCTCAGCTCACCAAGCCAGTATCTTTCTACCTCCTCACCCTCCACCTCTGCTCTTTCAACTCTCGTCTTGGCAGCAGGAGGGCTACACACAAAACCACAGAAAGAGAAACTGATGCCGTTTGAATTGGAGATGCCATGCAATACCTGCGAGTGTTTAAAAAAGAAAAATTCAAAATCGGAAATATTCATTTTTAAAGGTCTTGATCTTTTAATGTGCATATGGAAGTGTGTATGCAGGAATGATATGTTTGACTGTATGTTGGACATTTTGACACTCGCCTTTAATGTGTGGTTTGATCCAAACTTTGAAGTACTTTCTAATTGTGTGCTTTACTATGCAGACACATAGAAAAGCGTTACTGTAGACACACAAATAAAACGTTAGGTGAAAATTTTGGTTGCCAGGAGACAGTTGCTGGGAAGCTCATTGGCCCATGGAGTGCATATGGAGCTTTTTTCTGACAGCAGCCGATTTGACATGAAACAGTAGATAAACAAAGCTTTAATTAGCAACACATGCTTACCTGCTCTCTTCACGTTGCAACGGCTGCTGGGAAAAAGCTCTGTTTCAACCAAATTGTAATGTGACAAATGGCTGGACTCAGCCCTGCAGGTTGAAACGTACTTTTGCATCTTTCTTCTGGATTTTTAATTTTTTTTTTTTTTTTTTTGGTCTTGTTTTTCAGTCTTTTAAGTATTTTAACTGAGCTCTGTAACTTACAGAAGAGACAAATTAGCTGTTATTTTCCATAGGCCTGGGATCATGGAGCCCTGGTTAATTTATTATTAATGCATGACTCCAGCTAATATTCGTTGTTAATAGAAATGAACTGTCATATTGTTTTATACAGTTTTGAAATGTTGAAAAAGACGTGACGTTAAATGCACTTGTGTTATTTGCACTTTATTTTTTGTTTTCCACTAATCTTGTGGTATGACTGAGTTAGATTTTCTCTCTCAAATTGATTGTCTTGAACATTTGCAAACCTACAGTGCCTGTGTTTGATAAACATTAGCGTTGTCCTCTTACAGCCCTCTTGGCTCATCTTTGCTCCCCCCCTTTTGGTTCAGGAGCCAGAGACTGACGACAGCGGGCCAGGGCCTGGGGAGGTGAGCAGCTGGGATGTTAACATTGAACGGGTGCCCTGCTCCGTTGGCAAGCTCTGCAAGACTGAGTCCCAAAACCACATGTCTCCCAGGTAAAGTGCTGATGACTACATCTGGGAATAAGCATTCAGTATAGATCTAATGTGTGTCTGCTTTAATTGTTAATTTGCTTTTCTTATAAACCGGATCATTAGGTTCTTTTTTTTCTTCCTGACTGTCATATATTTTATTCTTCGCTTGTTGTCGCCTCAGTAAAGTGGAAAACAAGCTGCAGAGACGACCTCGCAGCACCTCCATGAAAGACAGGCAGAATTCCAAGGCCCAAAGCGACAGGACCAGCAGCATGGAGTCTGAGTGCTCCCCAGACTCAAGACTCATAGCGCAGGTAGACAACGCATCCAGGATCGAGCATCAGACTCTGTTCTTTACACTTTTTTTTTTTTTTTCTTCAGTCCAGTGGAAATGTGCTGACTTGTGTCATTGTCATACTTTGCGCTCCTAATTTGTGTCAAAGGTTCCAAGGAAGTCCGTCTATGACCAACTAAACCAGATTCTCATCTCTGACGAACGCTTACCAGAGAGCATCATTCTCATCAACACTACAGAGTGGCAAGGACAGGTCTGTTTTTCTATAAGTAGCATTGAATCATGAATTCCTTTACCTTCATTTGTTCATACATGCGATAGAACCACACGGATCATGCAGAACAGGGCTTATTTTTACCCATGCACACATTACAGTGTTGCAAAAAGAGGAAAATGCAAAAAAAAATGTGTGTGCTTCCGAGTAGCATTTTTTTTCTTTTTTCCAACCCTGCCTCTGGTATATCCATTAACTCATCGTGTCCCTCTCATGTGTGTTTCTGTGCAGTATGTAGCCGAGTTGCTCCATGAACAGAGCCAGCCCATTGTGTCAACCTGCTCTGCTGCAGATGTTCAGGCTGCCTTCAACACCATCGTTACTCGCATCCAGAGATTGTGAGTCACATACATGCATACATACACACGCATTGGCTGAATGACACAGCCCATCAGATGGCGTGATTTTTATTGTTTATTTATTTATTTTTATCTCATTATCTTGAGCCAATCTTCACCGAACTATATGTGTTTGATGGCTACTCACTAGATAATTCCAGGGTGGTATTGCTCATGCTGCTAAAGCGCTCACTGTGCGTGAACCCATTCTATCAAAATACGTCCGTTTCCTCATGAAAAGCTTAAGTTCAGCTGCCTTCTCTGTTTCCTGGATCCACCTGCTCGGCTGTCATCTCCTCAGGATGTCATGTCAGTGGGAGACGAGGCTCTCTCGGTTTGCTGTACTGCTTCTGTCAAACATGTTTTTCTCCCTTATTCAGCTGAACTGCAACTTTTTAGCGCTTTGGACACCTGCTCCTCAGTCAACGCATTTACTCCAGCTGGGGCAACGTCACGCAGAGCCGCGCATGTCGCTGATGTTAACGTGCTTGCTCAGTGCTGTGCCACCGCTAACAGAATGATTGTTTTCTGAGATGTTGTCACTTGGAGTAAACACAACTTTCTTGTCTTTTTAATACCAAATGTATCAACATTCTCTTCTGCTTTAATCTCTCTTGACATTACCTAGAAATTCTTTAAGATGATCCATTATATGTTACAGCATTTAAGTACTTTTAGGGTTTGATTGCTGCTTTAGAAAGAGCTTCGTGAAACTTGAAATTATTTGCGGGTTTAAGACCCTTTTGATGAATTTTTCCTGGCTAAACTGAATTTATTCTTCTTTCTTTTTTTTGTCGTTTAACTTAAAGATGGAATTGGTCTTTGGTTTATTATTGTAGGAGTAGGATCTAAAAAATGTTGCGCCATTTGCTCTAGAAAGGCTTGTAGATACTCGCAAGTACCTAATAAATTATAGCCTATGACGTATTTTGGCTTCCCAAAAAGGTAAGACCGGTTTTAAACCAGACGGATCTTATTGAGAAATAAATCTCTGCTTCAGACTTCTGTCACTTCTCTCACACTCATGCTCTGACCCATATTTCTAAGAAGTTGGATCTTAGTCTTCCTCTTAATTACTCATCTGTTGTCTCCATTTTTTATCCCTTGCAGCTGTAACTGTAATGCACAGACACCACCGACGATGAAGGTGGCGGTGGCGGGCGACCAGAGTTACCTCAGCACCATCCTGAGGTTTTTTGTGGAGCAGCTAGCCAACAAGACTCCTGACTGGCTGAGTTACATACGCTTCCTGGTGATCCCCATTGGTAATTCATTGATTTATACGAAATCCATACAGGCATATTCTGTACTTTTAGCGTTTGTTTTATATATAAAAATCCTCTCCACAGGCTCTCATCCCCTGGCAAAGCACGTGGCTTCTTTTGACAGCCGGTTCAACAGCATCTTTATGGACACTGCGTGGAGGGAGCTGTTCTGCAGGACAGAACGGCCCGCCTCAGGTAGGACACGCAGCTCTGGTGTCTGCATTTCTTATGTGCAGCCAACTTGAAAGGGAAAGAAATTGGGTGGGAGCAGAGGTCAGGGGCTGATGAATTGGAGAAAGAGATTTCTTCCAATTGCAAAAGACAGCTACATCCTGTTTGAGATCATGGCATTATTCCGTCTTCCTTTAAACTGCCTGCTGCTGATTAAGAAGAACCGCCAGACTGTCAGAAGTCTTATTCTCATTTTTACCCCGAAGCTTCTAACACATTGTAATATTAAAAACAGAGGTTGTTGTTTTTGAAAAGGCACATCATCATAACCTTTTTGGGTTTGTTTGTTTCAACTTTTTCCAACATCTCCAACGATTTTAGCTTTAAACCTCCCAGCTGTGTGCCAGTTGTAGCTAATTAGTCTGAAACAATAAAGTAGGAATCCGTAGGATTAATCCAAGCAGCCAAATCGAAGACATTTGCGTGTTTGATGTTTATTTTAGGATTTTCTTGTTAACTTTAAGCCTTGAATATATTTTTTTTACACTCTCACTATGTGAGAATGTTACATAAAATGGCTCACATAAATCCATGCTTAAGCCTCTATTCCAATCCAACTCCTCCATTATCACTTGTTCTGCCCAAACATGCCTGATAATCTTCACCCATCCTCACCTATTAATTCCCTCCCTTTAATCCCCAAAGGTGCAAGAGTCACAATGTTACACATGGTGTTAAATCATCTCAAAGCAGTTGGGTTGAACCAAAAAACAAAAAAGATCTAGAGCAGAGGTCTTTTATTCTTAACATAAGGTGTGATCCCGACACTGAAGGCAGTTTGTAATAGGACCGACTTTGAGTGTTTTCAGTCGATTAAGTGCCGAGAAGCTACAGGTCAAAATGAATTGATTAAAACTCAAGTCTATATTTCAAGTTGCCAAAAAAAATTGCGCCCTAGGATACGAGCGACCCCCACATGCATTTTGTTTGACATATAATTTATCCCGTGTGTCACACGGTCGACTTCACCCACATTTTAATGACATTTTACACTCAGCAGCCCCCATCTCCTTAATTCAGTGGAATGTGAATGATGAATGCACAGTCCCCTAGCACACCGCTCTATGTGAAAATTACCATTTGCATCAAATGTCAGCTTGTTAGCAAGACATAAAACAGGAGAGGCTTGTTGTTAACAATCTATCTCTTTGCTCCCTGAAGATAACATAGATGTAGCAGGACGAATCATTCAGTATCTGGCCGGTGCCAACGTGTCCCACCAGTTTCCCATCTCAGAAGCCATGCTCACCTACAAGCAGAAGAGGTAAAGTGACCGTGCTTATTGAAGTCGTGGCTTATTCATCCAATGTTTTCTGTATTTGAGCATGCATCTGTGCTTTTTTTTTGTGCTCTAAGCAAGTCTGTGTTGCAGTTATTCGTAACTGGTAGTTCTGATGTTAATTTTCTTCTATGTTTCCAAAAAATGAATCATTGAACTAATGTTGCATTGACAGCCCATCATAAACTAGCACTTGTAGTGAATATCAGCTAAAACTGCATGAGGAACATAATTAGATGAATGTGCATGTAAGCATGCAGCTGCAAGAACATGCATTAAACACACAAAGCGAGCATCAGCTCAGTTTCCACACTAAACTCACTTCTGTTTATTTTGACTTGAATGAAAGCAGGACTTGTAGGTTTTGTATGATTTGATAAAAATGTTAAAAAGTCCAGTCTAGGTGTCTCACAGTCACATCTGCAGACAGAGACAGTCCACTGCATTTCTCTGTGCATTTGCTTGTTTTCTTTCTGAGATTTGACCAAACCCTTCCCCCTTCTTTGTGAGAGTGGCTTCCTATTGGTCAGAAGGTACTAAATACAACACAGTTTTAACGCTGTTGCATTCCTTCTCCTCCCCTTTCCCCCCTTTTTGATTTGCATTCAAGGAAAAGAAGTTTGTATTTTGATTTTTACATCAGGTATCTAATTCAACTCGTGTTTCGTTTCCCCCCCTTCCCTATTTTCCCTTCTCCATTTGGCTTGAGCTCCTCTTGCTGTGTCTTAACATTTCCCTTTTCACTTTCGATACTCACTGTAACTTCACTTGGCACTCTGTCCCAGCGTGTGTCTTTGGTTTGGTATGACTTTGATTCTTACTTTGTCCTCCGTGTTGTTGCTGTGACGATTTGCCTAACAACCTTAAAATAAATATTCACAGCGTGGATGGTTTGCTGACTTACAATATCTAACAGTATATATGTATATATGATGCCACACTTAAAACCGCTCCTTGTTTTATTATAGATGCAACTGTTACTGCAGGACCAAAAGAACTCCATATCAGTCACAAGATCAGCTGTTTTGTCACCTAAACACTGTTTCACAACATTTTCAGATTATCTTTTAAAATCTATTAAATGTACCAAAAATGCTGATGATGTGAACAGAGACAACACAGTATAAGTTAAATTACATTCCCATTCGAAAAACTAAAACTGAACTCTTAATAACACTGCTAGTGTTCTGAATTGCATGAATGATACTAACTACTGACAAATGCGTTTTGTGTGCACAACAGAGTAAAGCAAAGCCTGTATGCAAAAGCTTGACAGTTAAGATTATTTTGTAATTGTTATTTTTGGAAGTTTGTTACAGCTCACAGTGCTGCTCAGATACCTCAATGTTGTGCTTACAGTCGAGTTGCTTCCTGTCGGGCAGATGTTTTTTAGAAATAATACGTGGGTATTACGAGTTGACACACTGAAGTTTTAATAGTGCAAGTAGATTTAGCAGTCCATATTTTATAAGATGTTTTTTATTAGGATCTTGTGAATGACCTGACACACAGTAAAGAGGTGGTGCAGTTCAGTCCTGATGTAGTTGTTCGATAATGTTACTGGAATTCTGTGTAATGAAGCAAGGCATTAAAATGTTTGGGAAGTGTTGTCCTGCATATGCGTATGGGAGTGGGTACCAGCAGTGCTTCTTGTGTTGTTTGATGTTGCAGCAGACTATTTTTGTAAGCTCATCAAAGGCTAAGGAAGAATCAGTGACTTGTTTTAAAAGTGTCACTGTTGGACACTTGCAGAACTATGGTGCTAATCTTTTGCACTCTGATCGTGGGCCTGAGCGTGCCTCAAACTTTACGGGATGTTGACTGTCATCCTGTTTTTTGTTTGTTTGGATAGGCATGTAATCTTGGACATAAAGCAGCCACACAGTTACTGCACAGATCCAAAACAGTCGTGTATTTAAAAGCAGACACTTGTTGTTATCGTCCTGGTTGACAAGAGAGACCCCACCTCCCCGTCTTCTTCTGGTTGTAAGGAGCAGGTCCTCTCATTCATCTCATTGTATCGTGACTCCCCGAGATGATCCCATTCCACCCAAGCCAGTCATGTGCCATTTCCGCTGTGATGGGACATGGTGCAGGCCATGCCACAGCCATCTGCCCTCCAGGACCATTGAGTGTTCATGTGCACCTCTGGAGTGTTGAAAGTGTTTCAGACCCACCGTTGGTCAAACTCACAGATTCTTTTTGTTCTCGCTCTTTTTCACAGCCCTGATGAGGACTCCTGTCAGAAATTTGTGCCATTTATTGGGGTAAGAAACACATTTGTTTACCATGCAAACATGTCCTGCACTTTCTTTTTTAATTCATTCTATATTGAATATTTTCTTTAACACTGGCTCTTATTTTTCTTACAGGTAGTGAAAGTTGGGATTGTGGAACAAAGCCTCTCGACCTCAGGTAAGAAAAGCACATTTTTAAAGATGTGTTATCAGTTTAGTGTCATTGGGATTTTACTCACAGGATACTGACCAGGAAAATAAAGAGAGAAGCACTATTTTCCTACTTAATTCAGTTATAGGAAGAGTTGGCATAATCTGGAAAGCATTAAATATTTTTTAGGTACAGTTTTCACTTACAGTGATTTTTTTCCCCCCTAAATCTGCAGTGGACTCAGATGATGCCATGGGAGGCAACACAAGCATCTTGTCCTCCCCGACGCCTCCATCGGCCGGTCCGTATGGAAAGGAGATCGGGGGCACGCCCCCACAGTCCCCCTCTGTGTCCACCACCCTGTCTGGAGCTGGGTATGAAAAGCCCACGTCTCTTATTAAAACAAATACTCATAATTGCCCACATCACTGTAGCTTTCAGGGTAAACGGATGTGGAAATGAACAAACCACAAACAAAGCAAAGCCATGTTTGTTTCCCTTTGTAGCTCTCCATGTTCGGGCAGTGAGGTGATGGGGCTGCAAGTGGACTACTGGACATGGCAAGGCCCCGAGAAGAAGAAAGAGGGCGAGAAGAGAGACATAGGACTGAAGAACACCCTGAAGAGTAACTTCCGTTCACTACAAGTCAGCCGCCTTCCCTGCGGCGGAGAACTCACTCCTCCACCCAGCATGGCTATGACTGTTGTTACTAAGGAGAAGAACAAAAAAGGTACACTTGGAGGAGTTGCACATAGAAGTTACTAAAAAATCTTTTTCAAATTTGTATTTTTGGTTTTATTTGCTCATTTTTCTCCACTCTTTGAAATTTTAGTCTCCACTCTCTTGTTGTAGTTACAATGAACAGTAAAAAAACAAACAAAGCAGGCAGAACCAGATAGATTACCTCATTTATTCCACATTTTCTATTTCTTTCTCCAAATTATAGCCTTGATTACTGAAAATACAATTATATTGAGTCAGACTCACATGTGCTGTACACAAAAAGATTGGCGGTTCAAGGAGGAAACACAAATCAGCCTCAGGGGGTCACAAGCCCAGATAAATGGGAGGGTTTTGTCAAGAAGGGCATCTGGACTGAAATTTATGCCAAGTGAAACATGTGGACACATCCACTGTGGCGAACTCTTGGGAAATAAGGGAGCAGCTGAACGTAGCTTTGTTGGGGTGTGTTATACCAGGAGGAGCTGATGTCAAATCAAGTTTGTGGTTTCCAGCAGAGATGTGAAGCAGGCTACAGAGGTCCAAATGTTGTAGTGTTCAGCGCTCTCTGATGCTGACTCAGGCGACATTGCTTGAGGCAGTTTATGAGGCTTCTCCCAGCAGGCTCTGTGCAAGTAATGCAGCAGCATCCTCCATGACCTGTGAAACCAAACTTTGTGGATTTCTCATTATTAAAGTATTTTTTTTAGCTCTTTTGTATATGACTTTGCTTCTTTCTCCCTTCCCAGTGATTTTTCTCAGCAAGAAGCCGAAGGAAAAAGAGCTGGACTCTAAGAGCCAAGTGATTGATGGTATCAGCAGGTTGATCTGCACAGCCAAGCACCAGCACACGATGCTGAGAGGTGAGAGCTGAGAGCCTCCACTGTTGGAGCTCCACTGCCACCTTGTGTTCATAATACAGCGTAGCCATCATGTTTTTCTCGTGCATTTAGCTCTGTCTTTTCTGCCCTTAGTAACTATTGACGGAGTGGAGTGGAATGACGTCAAGTTTTTCCAGCTCGCTGCCCAGTGGCCAACGCATGTCAAGCACTTCCCGGTGGGAATCTTCGGTTACACAAAGCCCGTGTGACCCCGGCCGCCACCAGAATCTCTCGGCTCTACCCGACTCAGCGAGAGGCTGCAGAAAATTAGAAGAAAAACCGACATCCTCCTCGTTCCTCCCGGCAGTAATAGTTTTCCTGTGGAAATCTTACTGACTCACAGACTCACACGTTCAAGACAAAATTTCATGTTGATGTTTTTGATGTTGTTGGGTGTTGCTGTTGTTTTCTTTTCTTTTCTTTTTTTCTTTTTTACACACTACAAAACAGAACAAGTACTAATTTGTAATATTTGCGCTACCGCCTCGGAGGTATTTTGAGGTTTTTTGACAATTTGCCACATTTCGATAATGGCAGCTGTGTTTGCACTTTGTTTTTGTTAACATTTTATTATTTCTGTGAAATCCTACATTTATTGTTACTCTATAGACAATGGAGGAGTGTGATGGTGATGTGCAGTGGCGTGCGTGAGGTTGTTGGAGACCGTGTTTGTGTTTCGTTGTTGAAAGTTGGAATATTGCTGTGAATCTAGATGGAATCCTTTTAACTCACTGCTCAGTTTTCTTACTCGTCCCTTTACTTTCTCAGAAAGGTAAAGCTTTTATAGGAAGGAACAGAATGTTCTTTGCCTCGTTGCTTTGAAGCACACTGTATACCTAAAGCAAGTCAAAAAAAACAAACCCAAGTCGAGCAATGTATTTGAAGGTAGCTATAATGAATGTAGCTATGACACATTTGTTACGTGTAAGCAGAATATCAGATCAGTTCATTATTATTAATGCAGATGTTTTCCCTTTGCTGTTGGTGTACATGCAAACTGTACAGTAACAGCCACTTAGAAGCAGGGTAACTACTTATTTCCCCACAGCTGAAATGCCAAATTTAGTTGCGATTGCATGAGCTGTTGTGCTGTTTTTTTATACTTTCCGCCTTTACATAATTCGACCTTCCAGGTGGAATTTCAGCATTTCTGTGGTTAAACGTGGTCGCCCCTGTGTTCAGCTTTACCTGAGCAGATCTGTCACAGACCTGCAGTAACTTAGCAAAAACTAGACTGTGCAGTGATGTGCCAAAGTCGAGTCCTTTTATTTTTATAACAGTCCAGTCCAGGAGTATCTTGGCCAGGCCTAACTTCATAGTATGTCAAAGTGAAAACTCAAATTGTATATGTGATGTGTTTGTGGTCCCTGCGGAGATCAGTATTGAGATTTCTGAGACAAATTCACCAGTTAGCGCTCCACATTTAGCCAAATCTAAACATTTCTAAGCGATTACAATTGTGTAATCTGCAGCTTCACTGTGGTTGGATGTGCACGTTACTGAAAGGGTTCAGCATTGCATAAGGCTATGGAGGGAATATTACAAATGAGTCCGTCTGACTCGGAGGGAGGGGACAGCCAAGTGCTGACTCGCTTTGGAAATATGATTACAAGTGTATGGAGTCTTGCCTGACGTCCAAGTCACTGCCCCCCCCGTGTGTCTGTGTAGGTGTGCTCTATGTTCGATGGTACTTCCTGAGTAGTGTTACGTGAAACTTTTGCAATAGGAAACCTTTGGACAAAGGGCCTTCTCTATGAGGTTGTTGCTTTTTATAAAGTGAAGACTTAACAAGCTTTGATAGGCTGGCTTTTTTTTTTTTAGTATTGTATATAAACATGTACAAGATATACTATTGTGAATCACAAACTCCCCTCCCTCTTCCACTAAATTGAAAGCACAAATAGTATACCTTTATTTCTTGACATAAATGCCAAATATATTTCCAGAACTCATAACTATGAAGTACAATGCAAACACTATTAGGTATGTTTTCCTCATATACATTTCCCTGATGCACTTTCATATGGGTTTACACACATTGTAGCTCAAATTGGGACATACTTTGGTTCTCAAGGTAAAGTGTTAGGTGTTACTTTTGGAATTTAAACCACTACCTGTAGTCAGGAGAAGGCTCTTGATTTCTTTTTTTGTAACCATAGGGATGATGTGTTACATTGATGGCTTTAACTGCCATGTTTGGTCTGAAAACCCCATCATGGCTCATTTGTTACGTAACCTTTTTGCCACTAAATGTTGAGGTCTGTTTTACAGCTTCCACCGCACGTGTCTGCCTGTGACTTGTACAGTCAAGTTATTCCAGCTCCTGCTTTTTGAAGAGTTCACCCTCTTTCAAGTCAGGAGCGCAAACCGAACCTTAAATATTTCAGCATTAAGTATTAACAGCGGCAGAGTTATGTGAGGGGAATTTGTCATGCGGGTTAGCTTTTCATATACTAAATAACAAGTGTATTTCAATGTATGTAACCTCAAGACTTTTTTTTTTTTTTTGCCCAAAATCCAGAGGTAGCATGGGGGCATTAAACAAGGCTGGATCAATGAGCAGGCATGCTCACTTTGCCACCGTGATTTAGCACCACAAACAAAAGAACGCATCATCAGCGTTGATCCTTCTATTCCTGGTCTAGCTAAAGTTACATCATGCCATCTCATTGCTCCGGTTACTTGAAATGCCACCCAGTGTCTTTGCACAAACCCTATTTTAAATGACATGACAGTATTTTTAAATTTACCACTAAAAAAAAAAAATCTTAAAAAAAATAAAAATATGGGTTACTTCTGCATGTTTTACTATAGATGTAAATATGTTTTGGATTTTTATATTGTTTCTTTCCATGCTCTCACAAGCAGTTGTGTTTAATAAAAATTTTTAATCTTCTGTACAAACGGCTCGTCTTTATTTAGATTTATTTCTCAGAACAACGTTAGATTTCATCCCAAGGGATCAAAGAAAAAAAATCTACAATCCGCTAAACATGTCCAACATGTGCCGTGTTAGCTCGCTGAGACTGAGGGCAGGTTGATGTAGACCTTCATCGGAGGCAGCGGTTTAATCTTGCGCCCTGCCCAGCCTCCCTTCCTCTGCCACAAGCCGCTGGAAGGGCGGATGCCCAGCCAACGATTGCGCCCGGCTTTGCCGATGATCCGTTTATTGTGGTCGACGTTGGAGATGCGTCCCACTGTGACCATGCAAGTCTCCAGCACCTGTGTGTGTTTACGAGACAGCATTTAGCCAAACTGAACGCGTCTTTAACAGCGGCTGTAATCCTATTCCAGATGACCTCACCTGAACCTGCTGCTTTGAAGGAAGCTGAACGATTGCCGTTCCATTTACTTTACGAAGCAAAACGCCGCTCGTGCCTGAAAACCAAATGAAACACAGCGTTCACTTTAGTAGCTTTTCTGAGCAACCTCGCCTTCCAGCAGCTTACATAGTGAGGGATACAGTACAGTAGGTTACCTGCAGCCCGGATATACTCTGATCCCTTCCCAGGTCGTAACTCCAGGTTGTTCACCAGCGTTCCCACAGGAAGAGCCCCCAGCGGGTAAGCATCTCCCTCATTGGCCGAAACTGCAAAATTAAACAATTCTCATTAGATATACAGGTTACGAAGGCCGACGAACCTCCAACTGAAAAACTTGGATCCTGTACCTGCCATGCGTCCAATAACCCCAGATGTTTTAATGATGTCTCCAGCCTGCATGTTCTCTGTTGCAATGATCCATCTTTTTCGCTCACCTCCAGCTACCAGGGCGATATCAGCAGACCTGCACGCAGACAAACCCAGCTTAGTGTTTTCAGTACTTTGAGCGTACACATTAGACTCCGGGCAGTAAGTGGTCTCACCTGCACGGGTCGTATCGCACTTCAACAACCTTCTCCTCAAAAGGCTGGCCCTCTCTGTTGGCTTCATACCGTAGACGATGGAAGTCTACCCACCGGTATCTTTGTTTATGACCACCGCCAATGCCATGTGTACGTATTCTTCCTGTAGAAGGAAGTAGGGCGGCAAACGCTTGAAAGAAAGCCACAAGCCTTGAATTCTGAGGCTACACAGGAGTTCAAACTTTTACCTTGAGCACAATTTCATACTTTAACTATAGCACCAGGCAGGTTTCTATTAAAATGTGTTTTACAAAATGTAACAAAACCTTTCCTGTAGCAGACTGCTACAAAAAATAAAAAATCTGTTGAATCTAATCTGTTCTTTTGAAGACAAGTCTCTTTGGTGCATTCACACTACAGGCACTGACTCAAATGTGATTTTTTTTTCTTTCTTTTTTTTGCAGTGTGACCTCAGTCTGAATTCACGTGACTATCACTCCACTCTGAGTGTGAACCCCCTGCATCCACCCATGTCTGGGTATAGAGGGAGCAGGCATTATGGGGCCATTTCACCATAAAAAGCTTTCTCTGTCCTCATTGATAAACTAGAAGATGTGCAGCATTTAAAAGCTGTACATCAGCATTTAAATGCCACCATAAACTCTGACTTCAGTGGCATCTTTTTGTTTTAAACACAGTGGCTACATAGTGTAGTGCTTTACATATTCGCAAAACAGGGGAAAGATCCCTGGTTCATTATGGAGAGGCGAAACAAACCCCTATGTGGCTGTATCTCAAAAACATCCTGTGAACATACAGCTATTTTTTTTTACCACTGCACTTTACCTGTGTGATCTCTGCCTCCTGTCTTTTTCATTCCGATAGGCCTGATGGTGTACTTCTCCCTCTGCTTCCATCTGACCCTGTTCTGCTCCAGAGAGGCTGTGGTGAGGAAGCCTCTGCACTGGATCACCGCACTACTGGGCACCTGAGCTCCCAGCTTACTCCATGCAGCTGCCTGTCAACACCAAAAAGAGCCGCTCAGATTGTTCCTGATGTCATGTTTACTGTCTAAATATGGCTGACAGGACCAAGGCAGGAGGCGTTTTTACCTGAGAGACCAATGCGGGCTGGGAGAGAGTCAGGGAGCGCAGGGCTCGAGTTAGACACGACAGCGCCATCACAACAAGGACCTGCAGACTGGTGAAGGGAGACACTGTGTTTAAAATCAAGTGCTAACATTTCTCCTGCTTTCGGCCCCGACTGTAGCTGACACAAGTCGGTCACATAATCGATAGTTCAAAACTACGCCTGACTTTTATCGGTGGTTGCATATGTGCCTCAGCTCTGCTTAGCATATCTTCAGTAACCAAATGACAAGCAAACGTGAACCACCGCTAGCTTAGCGTCTCTCTACAAAGACAGCTCCATCAGCTCAGTAACGTTTCTTTTCTGTTTTAATGAACAGATCTTATTTAATCCCTAGTCTGAGGTCAAGTGTGTGATATTACCGAATCTAACCGTAGCATTCGACTAACCTTTATATTTTAACTTATTTCATCCCGAGCGTCTCTTCTGCGTCCTTCGCAGTCCTGCACGCGATGTCGCGCAGTGATGACGTATGTATTGATGTGTCCTGTCTGTCGAAGCGTCGAATGTGTCGGGTAATCTCGGGGGCGTTTTTTTTTTTAACTTTATTTAACAAACAATGAGTATACAACATACGAACAGATGAAGTATACAAAACAACAGAACATGAACACAAAAAGCCAAGGGTAAAAGAAAAAGGTAACAATTATAAGAATACACGCAAAAATTCACATACATATATTGTTTTGAGAGCCTTTTTGTTGGCGGAGTCTGATATTGATTGTATGTACATTTCCACATCCTTAAAATAATGACAGAAATATGGTGTTTTGTTAGTAAACTTACATTTATGGATAAAAAATTTAGCTAAAAGTATTAACAAATTTATCATAAAAAACATTTCTCATACTTCTTGGGGAGCTTAAAGAAACAGAATAAAACATTTTCCTATCGTAAAGAAAACTCCCTTAAAATATGGACAATAACAAACCTGCTAAATTCCTTCCAGAATCTCTGTGTAAAAGAACAGCACCAAAAAAGATGTGTCACAGTTTCTGGATGATCCCCACAGAAAGTACAATTAGTATTTATGTCCCTTTTAAATTTTACCATGTAGTGACTGGCTGGATAACATTTATGTAGAATTTTAAATGAGACTTCTTTCACCTTATTTACAATCAAATATTTATGGGGGACCATCCAGACTGTCTTCCACTTGATATCTGGAACATATGGGTTCCAATAAGATATTATATATGGGAGAGAGACGATATCTTCTTGGAATAAACTACGTATTCTCTTATTGCTGTTACCAAGTTCCTGTGAAAAGCAAATTTTTCCTATTGGTGACTCAGCTGGATCAGGGAGAGTGACTGAGGTAGATATTGAGCTGTCAGTGTTTTTATATAACATTAAAGTCCCTGAGGGTATGGCACCAAGCACCATTGAGAATTCCTGAACACTGATTGGAAAATTATATAGTGCAATAAAGTCGTTGTAAGTAAGTAAGTAGTTGTCCCTCTTTACTAACCAGCTGAGCCACCAATAGGATCCCATTTTGGACCCAAGTTTCCAGGAAAAGTGATTTATTTTTATATAAAATATCTCTGTTGTTCCAGATAAGGTATTTGAGAGGTGAGAAGTTGTGTTTATAAATGAGGGTCCACGCTAAGAGGACCTGCTTATGGAAGGATGAAAGCTTTACAGGGAGTTTCTCAACATTGTAATTACAATTTAAAATAAAATTAAAGCCACCAAAACGAGAGAAAATATGATTTGGTATAAAGTTCCAGATAGAGGTAGGGTTTTTAAGAAAATGTTTAGCCCAATTAATTTTGAAAGTGTTATTTAAAGTAGAAAAGTCTAAGACGTTAAGTCCACCTGATTCGTACTTATTCATCACAACAGTTTTTCTAATATAATGTGTACTGTTTTTCCATATAAAATTAAAGAGCATACGGTCAATATCTTTACTAATTTTCTTATCCAGATGTAAGGAGAGAGCAGCATATGTTAATCGGGATATCCCTTCAGCTTTAGTAATTAACACTCTACCTTTCAAAGACAAGTCCCTTTGCAGCCACTGGTTGAACTTTTTTAGGGTTTTCTGTATAATTGGAGTGAAGTTTGAAGAGCATCTTGATTTTTGGTCTTTGGATATTAACAGTCCCAAGTATGTGACTTCTTGTTTAACAGAGATATTACAGATAGTATTTGCAGGGCAGTCTTTAATTGCTAGTAACTCACACTTTTTTAGATTTAGGCATAAACCAGAGGCCTCAGAGAAATCACTAATCACAGTAAGAGTTGGAGGGATTTGGTTTGCATTCTTCAAGAAGAGTGTGGTGTCATCGGCTAACTGGCTGATGACGAGCTCCTTATCAGCTATGGTGATTCCTTGTACAACACTGTTTGAAATATTAGTTGCAAGAATTTGTGTACAAAGTAAAAATAAATATGGTGAAATAGGACATCCTTGGCGAATAGCACGTTTCAGGTCAAATCTCGGGGTGGAGCCGTTAATCATTTTAATAGAACTATTGCCATGTGTGTATAAGGTTTTGACAAAGTCAAATTTTTCCAAAGAGTGGAAAATAAATTGATGTTCAATCTCGGGGGCGTTTTTGTGAAGCACGTATCGAGGCTTGCTTTGATTACGTACGCAGTGACGTTCGAGGCCTCGCGGGCAGTCCGTACCATGTGACTGATTCAGGGACTGGTTCACCGGTTCGCGCCAGATTCGAAATAAAATGGGCAGAAAAACACAGCAGATTCCCCATCACCGTGTTGTGGAATTGGATTTCGTACGTGTTACATAGTTACTTGAGCATTTCTTCTTCGATCGAACCAGCAAGGAAGAGATTTTTTATTTTATTTTATCTCTCATAACAAAGTATGCACACAGTAATAAATATCACAAATGATAAGCATCATAATATAAATAAACAACACTACAGATCCTATAATCTGATTTCTGTCTTTTAGTTTATTAAAAAGTGAAGCACCAAACACTAGTTTGTGTCATTATCCAGATGTACATAAGCATGATTACACAGGTACTAGGAGCGGGTTTTGATTATCGATTAAAATCGATTCTAGCATGGATAACGTGATATTCGGCTTCGGCGCCTAATAAGCTCATCACTGGACCCACTTCAGTTTGCCTACCAGCCTGGCATTGGAGCGGATGATGCCGTCATTCACCTCCTACATCGTTCCCTCGCTCACCTGGAGACCGCTGGAAGCACTGTGAGAATCATGTTCTTTGATTTCTCCAGTGCCTTCAACACC